TCTAAAAAGGTGGGGTGATTATAACACCTCGCAATTCTAAATTAAGTAATTAATACATTGAGTGAATAATTAAGTGATGGATTAGTGAAAATCCTAAAGATTAGGCCAGAATACAAAGAAAGGGCAAAACGGTAAATTGCCAACACACAACCCTAGGAAGATAAAAAATTGAGTAGAAGGTCTCAGATGGTAAAAATAACCCTGGAAATGGATTCAGAACGAAAAATTGAATGGACAGGCAAGTTTCAGAAAAATCAGTGAATAGTGTTTTTCGCGGGTAAAAATACCGCGGTACGATTGCACCGTAAAACGTGTCGATTGAGTTTTGAGCTCTAGGTTTCAAATATGAGTTATAAATGGTTCATTGAGTTAGGAAATATGATTTTTGATAAAATCTGATGGAATTAAGTCAGTTTGGGGAAGCGTGCTGACGGCGCGCGCAATAGCTTAAAACAGTGTTTTCTCCGAATGACCGGAAAACTCCGGAGTCATCTGATCAAGTATAATTAAAGGAGAATGGTTAATGTTAAAAATTAGATTTTCTAAATAGGTCTTGAAATTACGGACGTTTAACGGAGGTTTAGACGCGTTTTACATCACGTGAGGTGGCGTGGGTCCCATTCCACTTAAAATCACTTAAGTCCACCTCACTCACTTACTATTCATCATCTTCCCACTTCCCCCTCTCTCCCAAACACGAGCCATCAGCCCCCTCCCCCCTTCTCCATGCAAATTTTTCTTCTCTCCTTTAATCACTCAAATCCTAACCAAATCCAACAAAGTTTAACTTGAAATTTGTTGGAAATTGTCTTCTAAAGCCATTGGTGGCATTGTTAAACCGTGAAAGTGAGTAGATTTTGAGATCTTCCCCTCACAAGGCCGCGGCTCACTTGAGGAAAAGGGTGTGCATGGAGCTTTTGAATGCTCTAATGGTAGAGTATGTTTAGGAGGAGCCCATTGCCTAGCTTTTGAGTAAGTTTCTACACCTTGGTATGGTTTGATTCTTAGTATTGCATTTATGAACCCTAAAAGGGGATTGTATGATGTGTGAGGTTAGAGAGCTCAATTGGGAAAAATTTGTACATGAAAATGTCTTAGAATAATGTGTATTATTGATAAATGCAATGAAAATTTTAGGTGAAAATTGATGATTTTAACTTAGAATAATTTTGATGGTCATGACATGGAATCTTGGAAAAATGTGTTGTGATGTTAATAATTAGTTGTTGTATGATAGAATGATAATATAATGTAATTGGTTGAGTTATGGAATGGTTGAAAATGGAAACAAATCCTTTGAGATTCCCTAGGGCATAATTCGGCCATTGTGGGAAAAATGAGGAATTAATGTTGAAAAATTATTTGGATGATGATTTGTGTAGTTATATGGTACTTAGATGGGTTGTGTGGTGATTGGAAAGTGTTAGAATCAATGGAAAAATAATAACTTGTGTTTAGGGACATAAATGAACCTAGAGTGAATTATTTAGCAAAACGATGAGTAAAAGACGTAAAACGGAAAAACGGCACTTGAATTGGCCTCTTGGCAACCTAAGGAAGCATAATAAAATGAGAAAGAAAATTTAGAAAAATAAATCCTAAAATAACACTACAAGGGCCGAACCATCATGGTGATGAGAAGGGATTTTTGTGTTTTTTCGCGTTTTGACGTAAATTGACGTATACTGACGGCTAGGGGTGTAAATGGGCCAGGCTGGCCCAGCCCAACCTACGGCCCGACCTACGTTGAGCCCAGCCCAAGCCCGGCCTTTCAGAAAAGTAGAGTAGGCTTAGGCTTATAAAAAGTTTTTTTAATAAATAGGCCATAGGCCAATTTTGTCAAGCCCGGCCTACAGCCTTGTAGGCTGGCCTATTTAATTTATTAAAATAATAAAATAATATTTATTTTATGTGACAAAGACACAAAGTACCAAATATCAATATCTCTTACTTTTTGTGCTATTTTATTTTATGAAAGGAAAACTTGTCTAATGTCTCCAAATTTTACATGTTGTTGCAGCTTAATACCATGGAGCAATGGGTACCTTGCTGGATTATGATGTTACTGATGAAGATCTTTCAATAATACTCTTCTTTCCCTTGTCTTGATGGTGGTTTAAAGATTTTTAGATGAATGACATTCTCTTGTAGACGTTATTTCAGCATCCAGCAATTGTATTTTTCTTATTTTTCCCATTTCTTTGACTCTATTCCTCTATGATATACATTCTAGAGTTGAGATATTATGTTGACTCTTTCTTGTTTATCATTTTTTTCTTATGAGAAGTACTAGTGTATGCATGAATGGAACTTTCTTTGCTCTATACAATTATTTTTTTTGCCTAGTATATATAGTGGGAGGCCTACAAGGCCTGTAGGCCATGTCAGGCTTTCTTATTTTTGAAAATAGGCCGGGCTTGACCTACAAATAAAGCCTTTAATAGGCCAGTAGCCCAGATAGGCTGAATTTTTTTTTACGTAGGCTTGGGCCAAGATGGCCAAAGCCCAGCCCAGCCCAGCCCATTTACACCCCTACTGACGGCTGTACATGGTTGTATAGGTTGTCGTACGTCGACTTGAATCCTGAACAGTGAAAGAGTGAATTGCCCTTGGTCCTAGACCAAGTGGATGGAGATAAGTGATTGTATTATGCATGTGAAATTGAGAATTGGCATGCATTTTGTGAACTTGAGTAAGTGGGAACGTCCTATGTGTAGGCGTTCTGTTCAGTAGCAGACTTGGAACTTAAGCTACTGCGGAGCTAAGTGAGAAAACTATTTAAGGTAACCTCTTGGTACTGGGGCTTGTTTCCCTTTTCTGTTCCACCTTGCCAGTTGATGGCAACGGTAGGAAGTGTATATGAGTAGTGTAGAACAACATGAGCATGCATGCATTATCACAGTGGGTACTTATGTACCGAGTCTCTAGCCAGTAGACAGTTTTAGCCTTCGGGCAATTTCGGACTTCCACTGGATAGGTCTCCGAGAGGGAGTTCCAGTTGACCTAGGGTCGTGGTGTGTGATCCGGATAGGAGCACACTAGGAATGTCTCGGGTGTTATGGTTGGTTTGGGCATCATGGTTGTGGTTCTTGGAACACACCTTGGATGATACCCGTAGGCTTATATATGCCCAGGGCGTGCGTGGTATTGGTAGCTACCATCCCGCATCGTCGTATTTTGTATCCCGATATTCCCCAGTTTCTCTAAATCCCTTGCTTTATCCCGTTTTGAAAGTGGTTGTTTTATACTATTGATATGCATCGAAGTGAATCATTGGGCGGAGTTTTCTCTAGAACCTCTGGGTTACTGAGATATATTCGTATATCTCACCCCGTCTCGGGGCATTTATTTCGGGATGTACCTGTGGCGTTGGAGCTGCGGGCAAGAGGCCCGTGATAACTCATATTTTGTTACACTTATTTATTACTCTTGGTTGGTACTTTTATGATTTATTTGAATTAAATAAAGGTCTTTTAGGTCAATTCACTATTCTAGATTTTAGTTGGGTTTAATTGATTTTCGTCATAATTTTCCAGATTTACGCTACTTTTGTATTTTGACCATATCTCACTCTACAGATGTTCGATTGACTCCGGTCTTGTTGCTATTTGCAGCTAACAGATAGGGCTACAATCGCTATTTCAGCTACTGAAGCCCAATTCGGACGGGAAGATGGTCGAAAATTTCAAGATGACATGTTTTGTTGGAATTTTATTTTGACGTTTGGACTTGTAATTCACATTAGGACCCAATGTGTTTAGGGCCCAAGGCCATGTTTTATTTTATTGTTTTATTTTTTATTTAGCTTTTATTTTATGTTTTGGCTGAAGTGCCCTAGCCGTCTTGCGTGACGGCTATTTAAGGGAGACTCTAGGAAACCCTTCGGCAGTCAGTTTTTACAACAGAGAAGTTCTCTCTGAGTTTTTATTCAATTGCGTTCTTCATCTTTTTCTTCTTCTTCATCTTTTTATTTCAATTATGTTTACCTTAGCCATGCGAGGCTAAGAACTTTTTAATCAACCTAAGGGTGACGGATTCCATGGATTAGTCTTGAGGGTCTGCGCTTTATTTTAAATCAGTTTCGTTTTCCTTCCAAACTCAGATTGATATCGTGCGATCGTGGATATTCAATCTGAGGTTCGCGATTGCGATTATGGAAAGGATTAATCATCAGATTTGATGATTAGGTTGATTGACCCTATGACCTTAAATCAAGCGGGCTCATACTCTGCGATTGTATGAGTAGAAGCATCGTCTTTGATCAAATGCTAAGCGATCGCTTAGAGAGGGTTGTCAATTGGAAATAAGGATTCTGATTCGATTGACAAATCAATCACGATTCTGATATCCTCTTATCCGAGGAAAGACGTCCATGGAACCCAAACCTTAGGTTGGTTATTTTTAATTACGAATTTTACATACAATTTTACATTCTGCCTTTTTAATTATTGAATCAAAATCCAAAACCCCCTTTTATTTTCTGTCATCGTAAGCGATTTTTACCCAAACAATTTCCTTGAGAGACGACTTAGGGTTTGCACTTTACTACAAAATTTTCTGAACCCTAAAGAATTAATTTTTAATTTGCGCGAGTTCGACAACTCGTGTCAAATTTGGCGCTGTTGCCGGGGAAATTGCATCGGTCTAAATCGTTTTCTGATTCTTGATCATCTTCACCTTCTTTTTCTTTAATTTTCGTTTCTGAAAAAAAAATTCAAAAAAAATTCAAATAAAAAAATAAAAAAATTTGTGTCTTATCTTACGTTTTGTGATTTTACTGCTGTATGCGTTGCCTATGATGCATGACTAGGAGTAATACCAGTGTTGATGATTTATATGCATATGACCCTGAGATAGAGAGATCATTGCATGCTGCTAGTAGAGCTCGTAGGTTGACTTACAGTAGAGTTGTTCCTGAGCATACCTTAGACTCAGAGTCTGTTTATTCGAGTCCTTTACATAGTGTTTATTCGTTTGGTCATTTATTTGATTCTGAAATCATGGGTGATAGAACACTTAAGCAATTGGCTACTCCTAATGTTGATAATGAGCAGCCCTTGTGTATTCGTTATACTAATCCTGTTGTACCTTTTGAGCTTAAGTCTGGACTAATACACTTGCTGCCCAAGTTTCATGGTCTTGCAGGTGAGGATCCCCACAAACATCTGAAGGAATTTCACATAGTCTGCAGCACTATGAAGCCAACAGGGGTGGATGAGGAACAAATCAAGCTGCGTGCTTTCCCTTTCTCTTTGGACAGTGGAGCTAAGGACTGGTTGTACTACCTGCCAGCTTCCTCCATTGTAAGCTGGAATGACATGGCCAGATTGTTTCTGGAGAAATTCTTCCCTTCATCCAGGGCCACTTCAATCAGAAAGGAGATCAGTGGCATAAGGCAAGCTAATGGGGAGAACATGCATGAGTATTGGGAGCGATTTAAAAGGCTTTGTTCAAGCTGCCCACACCATCAAATTCCAGACAATCTCCTGCTTGTTTACTTCTATGAAGGGATGCTGCCTATGGATAGGAACCTTCTGGATGCAGCTAGTGGAGGAGTCCTGAGCAATAAAACACCTAATGAAGCCAAGGAGCTGATTGCTGAGATAGCTGCTAATGCTCAACAATTTGGCACTAGAGCCAACAGCAGTGCAATCTTCCAAGTGCAAACTCCTCCAATGCAAAATCCAACAGTAGCAGCAACAGGAGCATCAAGCACAGATAACCAGAGAATGGAGAACAGACTTGATGAGCTGACATCAATGGTGAGGCAGTTGGCAGTGACACAGACTGTGCAACCTTCTGCTCAACAGATAAGCAACTTGTGTGGCATCTGCTGTGATCCTTCTCACCCCACGGATGCCTGTCCTTCCTTTCATCAAGACAGCGGTTTCCAAGATGATCAGTCTGTTGCTGCAGTTTTTCCTGGAAAGCCACAGTACCAGCAGCAGCAGCAACAAAATAATCCATTCTCCAACACTTACAATCCTGGCTGGAAGAATCATCCCAACCTCAGATGGAACCAGAATCAGCAAAATGTTCCATATCAGAGTCAACAAAATTTTCCATACCAGCAGAAGCAGCAGTTCATTCCACAGCAGAGACAAAACTTCCAGCAACCTGCTCCCCAACAGTTGCAAGAACAACCACCAGTGCAGCAGCAAAACAGTGGCAGTGGTCCTTCTTTGGAGGACTTAATGAAACAGATGGCCAGTGGCAATCAGCAGTTCCAGCAGAGGACTGAGTCTTCCATTCAGAATCTGCAAACACAGATTGGCCAGCTTGCAACGTCAATAAATCAAAATCAACATGCAAGTGGCAGCTCCCTTCCATCCCAAACAGTTCCAAATCCAAAAGGAAGCGGAAATGTGAGTGCTATTACTTTGCGGTCTGGAAAGCAAATGGAGGAGCCAACCCACACTGCTGCTGAGACATCCAATGAAGGTGACACTAGCTACAAGAAGCAGAGCACTAATACATCGGATGTCCATATCCCTTTGCCATTTCCTCAGAGAGCCACTCAGTCAAAGAAGCAGTCAGCAAAGGTTCAAGATAAAGAGATACTTGACACCTTCCGGAAAGTTGAGGTGAACATCCCTCTTTTGGATGCAATACAGCAGATTCCGCGATATGCCAAGTTTCTAAAGGAGCTGTGCACCAACAAGAGGAGACTGAAGGGAGATGAGCAGGTTAACCTGAGTCAGAATGTATCGGCACTCATCCAGCCCATGCCTAAAAAGTGTCAAGATCCAGGGACATTTACTATCCCTTGCGTGATTGGCAATTCTATTTTTCATGATTGCATGCTAGACTTAGGAGCTTCCATCAATGTTATGCCTGCATCTGTGTTTAAGTCTCTTGGTCTTGGTCCTTTGCGTGCCACTGGTATTGTGGTTACGTTAGCTAATAGGAGTAGTATTCACCCATCTGGTTTGATTGAGGATGTATTAGTCAGAGTTAATAATCTGATTTTTCCTGCTGATTTCTACATTTTAGAAATGGGGAGTGAGACTGCTACTAATAGATCCCCAATCATACTTGGTAGGCCTTTCATGAGGACAGCTAGGACCAAGATAGATGTTCATTCTGGTACTCTTTCCATGGAATTTGGTGATAGCATTGTGCATTTTAATATATTTGATGCCATGAAACATCCTAGGGAAGAGCATTCTGTCTTCTGCATTGATGTGATAGATGACGCTGTTGAGGATGTTTCTGCTAAATTCCTTGCTGAGTTTTCTACTGATTTTGATTCTGATTTCTGTGGTTGTGGTGATAGTCGAGAGTGCATTGTATGTGATGAAATAGCATCTCATCTTTCTGGTTTCAATGATGCACTGATTGATGATTCTGATTATGAGTGTGAATCTGCATTTTCTGAATTGCCTGCTGATATTATTGATGATCCTAATCCTGTTTCTGAGAATTTGTTTACAGGCATTGCTGCTGACTTGTTTTCTGCAGAATTTGCACCACCAACTACACCTCTTCCATCCATTGAGCAGCCTCCGAAATTGGAGTTGAAGGTTCTGCCCGACCACTTGAAATATGCATTTCTTGAAGAGAATGAGCAGCTACCAGTCATTGTGGCAAAGAACCTTCTACCTGAGCAGGAGGATAAACTGTTAACCTTGCTGAAGGAAAATAAGAGGGCAATTGGGTGGACAATGGCTGACATTATTGGTATTAGTCCTTCGACATGCATGCACCGTATTCTACTTGAAGGAGCTAAACCAGTGAGACAACCCCAAAGGCGTTTGAACCCACTGATTCTAGATGTGGTGAAGAAGGAAGTAACAAAACTCTTGCAAGCTGGCATGATTTACCCCATCTCTGATAGCCAGTGGGTGAGTCCTGTTCAGGTGGTCCCTAAAAAGTCGGGAGTCACTGTGATTGCCAACCAGAATAATGAGCTGATCACAACAAGAGCTCAAAACAGTTGGAGAGTATGTATAGACTACCGTAGGCTCAACCAGGCAACCCGCAAAGATCACTACCCTCTTCCATTTATTGATCAGATGTTGGAGCGGTTGGCTGGTAAATCGCACTACTGTTTTCTGGATGGATACTCAGGCTACTTCCAGATCCACATTGCACCTGAGGATCAGGAGAAGACGACCTTCACATGCCCCTTTGGCACATATGCATACAGGCGGATGCCCTTTGGACTTTGCAACGCACCAGGTACTTTTCAGCGTTGTATGGTAAGCATCTTTTCTGAGTTGTTAGAGGATTGCATGGAGGTTTTTATGGATGATTTTAGTGTCTATGGTTCTTCTTTTGATGCATGTTTGGATAATTTGGGTAGAGTTCTGAACAAATGCATTCAAACCAATCTTGTGTTGAATTTTGAAAAATGTCATTTCATGGTTGAGTCAGGGATAGTTTTAGGGCATGTTGTCTCTAAAAAGGGTATTGAAGTGGATCCTGCTAAAATTGATGTTATTACTGCTTTGCCTTACCCCGCTTCTGTGCGGGAAGTTCGTTCTTTTCTTGGCCATGCAGGTTTTTACAGGCGCTTCATTCAGGATTTCAGCAAGATCGCTCTTCCATTGTCCAATCTCCTCCAGAAAGACATTGACTTTGAGTTTGGTGAAGCATGCAAGGCAGCTTTTGATCATCTGAAGCGCTGCCTAACCATAGCTCCTGTGATCCGGGCACCAGATTGGTCTATCCCATTTGAGTTGATGTGCGATGCATCCAATTATGCTGTTGGAGCTGTTCTTGCTCAGCGGGTCAACAAGGCCCCACATGTCATTGCATATGCATCCAGGACGTTGGATTCTGCTCAATCCAACTATACCACCACTGAAACATCTGCTTTCTTTAAAAGAAATTTCAAAGCTGCATAGTCAGAGAAAACAATAACCTTGGTATCTAACAGATATGACCGAAACTTATTAAGAGCAAATACTATAGCCAAGAGTTCTTTTTCAGTGGTGGTATAGTTGGATTGAGCAGAATCCAATGTCCTGGATTCATTTGCAATGATATGTGGGGCCTTGTTGACCCGCTGAGCAAGAACAACTCCAACAGCATAATTAGATGCATCACACATCAACTCAAATGGGAGAGACCAATCAGGTGCCCGGATCACAGGAGCTATGGTTAGGCAGCGCTTCAGATGATCAAAATCTTCCTTGCATGCATCACCAATCTCAAAGTCAATGTCTTTCTGGAGGAGATTGGACAGTGGAAGGGCAATCTTGATGAAATCCTGAATGAAACGCCCGTAAAAACCTGCATGGCCAAGAAAAGAACGAACTCCCTGCACAGAAGCGGGGTAAGGCAGAGCAGTAATAACATCAATTTTAGCCGGATCCACTTCAATACCCTTTTCAGAGACAAGATGTCCTAAAACTATCCCTGACTCAACCATGAAATGACATTTCTCAAAATTCAACACAAGATTGGTTTGAATGCATTTGTTCAGAACTCTACCCAGATTATCCAAACATGCATCAAAAGAAGAACCATAGACACTAAAATCATCCATAAAAACCTCCATGCAATCCTCTAACAACTCAGAAAAGATGCTTACCATGCAACGCTGAAAAGTACCTGGTGCGTTGCAAAGTCCAAAGGGCATCCACCTGTATGCATATGTGCCAAAGGGGCATGTGAAGGTCGTCTTATCATGCTCCTCAAGTGCAATGTGGATCTGGAAGTAGCCTGAGTATCCATCCAAAAAACAGTAGTGGGATTTACCAGCCAATCGCTCCAACATCTGATCAATAAATGGAAGAGGATAGTGATCCTTCTTGGTTGCCTGGTTGAGCCTACGGTAGTCTAGGCAAACTCTCCAACTGTTTTGAGCTCTTGTTGTAATCAGCTCATTATTCTGGTTGGCAATCACAGTGACTCCCGACTTCTTAGGGACCACCTGAACAGGACTCACCCACTGGCTATCAGAGATGGGGTAAATCATGCCAGCTTGCAAGAGTTTTGTTACTTCCTTCTTCACCACATCTAGAATCAGTGGGTTCAAATGCTTTTGGGGTTGTCTCACTGGTTTAGCTCCTTCTTCAAGTAGAATACGGTGCATGCATGTTGAAGGACTAATACCAATAATGTCAGCCATTGTCCACCCAATCGCCCTCTTATTTGCTTTCAGCAAAGTTAATAGTTTATCCTCCTGCTCAGGTAGAAGGTTCTTTGCCACAATGACTGGTAGCTGCTCATTCTCTTCAAGGAATGCATATTTCAAGTGGTCAGGCAGAACCTTCAACTCCAATTTCGGAGGCTGCTCAATGGATGGAAGAGGTGTAGTTGATGGTGCAAATTCTGCAGAAAACAAGTCAGCAGCTATGCCTGTAAACAAATTCTCAGAAACATAATTAAGATCATCAAAAATATCAGCAGGCAATTCAGATAATGCAGATTCGCACTCAGAATCAGATTCACCAATAAGTGCATCGTTAAAACCAGAAAGATGTGATGCTATTTCAGCACACACAATGCACTCTTGACTATCACTACAATCACAGAAATTAGAACCATGAATAGATGAAAAATCAGAAAAACCAGCAAGGAATTCAGCAGAAAAATCCTCAACAACTTCATCTATCACATCAATGCAGAAAATAGAACGATCTTTCCTAGCATGTTTCATGGCATCAAATATATTAAAATGCACAATGCTATCACCAAACTCCATGGAAAGAGTACCAGAATGAACATCTATCTTGGTCCTAGCTGTTCTCATGAAAGGCCTACCAAGTATGATTGGTGATCTATTAGTAGCAGTCTCACTCTCCATTTCTAAAATGTAGAAGTCAGTAGGAAAAATCAGATTATTAACCCTGACCAATACATCCTCAATCAAAGCAGATGGGTGAATACTACTCCTATTAGCTAACGTAACCAGAATACTAGTAGCACGCAAAGGACCAAGACCAAGAGACTTATAAACAGATGCAGGCATACCATTAATGGAAGCTCCTAAGTCTAGTATGCAATCATGAAAAACAGAATTGCCAATCACACAAGAAATAGTAAATGTCCCTGGATCTTGACACTTTTTAGGCATTGGCTGGATGAGTGTCGATACATTCTGACTCAGGTTAACCTGCTCATCTCCTTTCAGTCTCTTCTTGTTGGTGCACAATTCCTTTAAAAACTTCGCATATCTCGGAATCTGTTGTATTGCATCCAAAAGAGGGATGTTCACCTCAACTTTCTGGAAGGTGTCAAGTATCTCTTTATCTTGAGCCTTTGCTGACTGCTTTTTTGACTGAGTGGCTCTCTGAGGGAATGGCAGAGGGATATGGACATCAGATGCATTAGTGCTCTTCTTCTTGGAGCTAGTGTCACTTCCCTTAGATGACTCAGCATCAGTGTGGTTTGGCTCCTCCATTTGCTTGCCACATCGCAGAGTAATAGCACTCACATTTCTGCTTCCTTTTGGATTTGGAACTGGTTGGGATGGAAGGGAGCTGCCACTTGCTTGTTGATTTTGACTCATTGACGTTGCAAGTTGGCCAATCTGTATTTGCAGATTCTGGATGGAAGACTCAGTCCTCTGCTGGAACTGCAGATTGTTAGTTTCCATCTGCTTCACTAAATCCTCCAAAGAAGGACCATTGCCACTAGCTTGCTGCTGCACTGGTGGCTACTACATTTGCTGCTGCTGCATTGGTGGCTGCTGCACTTGCTGTTGAGGTGCAAATTGTTGAAAATTCTGCCTCTATTGTGAAGGTACAAACTGCTGCCTCTGCTGGAATGGTGCACTTTGCTGATTCTGGCTCCATTTGAGATTTGGATGATTTTTCCAGCCAGGATTATATGTATTGGAGAAGGGATTGTTTTGTTGCAACTGGTACTGTGGCTTTGCAGGAAAAACTACAGCAACAGACTGATCAACTTGGAAACCGCTATCTTGGAAGGAAGGACAAGCATCCGTGGGGTGAGAAGGATCACAGCAGATCCCACACAGGTTGCTTATCTGTTGAGCAGAAGGTTGCACAGTCTGTATCAATGCCAACTGCCTCACCATTGATGTCAACTCATCAAGTCTATTTTCCATTCTCTGGTTATCTGTGCTTGATGCTCCTGCTGCTGCCACTATTGGATTTTGCATTGGAGGAGCTTGCACTTGGAACACTGCACTGCTGTTTGCTCTAGTGCCAAATTGTTGAGCATTAGCTGCTATCTCAGCAATCAACCCTTTTGCTTCATCAGTTGTTTTATTGCTCAAGACTCCTCCACTAGCTACATCTAAAAGGTTCTTATCCATAGGCAGCAACCTTCATAGAAGTAAACAATCAGGAGATTTTCTGGAATCTGATGATGTAGACAGCTTGCACAAAGCCTTTTGAACTTCTCCCAATACTCATGCATGTTCTCCCCATTAGCCTGTCTTATTCCACTGATCTCCTTTCGGATTGTGGTGGCCCTGGATGAAGGGAAGAATTTTTCCAAAAATAATCTGGACATGTCATTCCAGCTTACAATGGAGGAAGGTGGCAAGTAGTACAACGAGTCCTTAGCTCCACTGTCCAAAGAGAAAGGAAAAGCACGCAGCTTGATTTGTTCCTCATCCACCCCTGGTGGCTTCATAGTGCTGCAGACTATATGAAATTCCTTCAGATGTTTGTGAGGATCCTCACC